TCGTGTATATTCCCGTGAAGGTGAACGAATCCGCTAATTTACTGGATTTATAATTTGGGAATAAATAAGTTAAAGATATATGAAATATGTATAATTTTAGGAAAACTATATAGATAAAAATTAGTTTGGTTTGGTTTAATCAAACTAATTTAATTGAGTTTTTAAAAATTTAAATCAAACCAAACTGATTATTAATTGGTTTGGTTTAATTTAGTTAGTTTGAATGGTTTATTGCACACCCGTAATTTGAGCTATACATTTGTTATTCTCATCTATAAATAGAAGAAAGTCTACAGGAGTTACCGTCTTAATTCACACAGAGTATACGTATAAGAAATTACACCTCTGAGAATAATTGATTACAATACTCAATTAGATTCATTCTTGTGCGCCAAGAATGTGACCGTCAAATGACAGCCAAATGAAGCAGACAAACAAAACAAAAAAAAACAAACAAACAAGAAAGGAAAAAATAGTAGAAGAAGAAGGGCAGAAATGGACAAAAAACAATTCAAAGACGCCCGTTTACTTTAACACACTTTTATTATATAGTAGATAATAGATATGACCACCTATACTAAGGTATTCGGAAACGATACGTCGATACCAATTGAAAAATACAAATTAGATGTCGCCAGTTATAATCACTAAAAATAATTTGACCTTATCATCTTCAATCTTCCGAAAAATTTTTATGCCAGTACTAAACGTTGGAATTTAGGTAACAAAATTTTTCTTAAATACAATATTATTTTTACCGTCAAATTGGATATATACTATATTTGATGCTAATTAAGTATGATATATGCTGAAATTTTGATATTTTATTGTCTCTTGATTAATGTGTTACCTTTGTACTCAATATTTATATTTGCTATTTTTTAATTCTTTAAAAAATTAAAATTCCCTTTTAATATTTGTATAGCTCAAAATTTATGACACGGTTTTTTTTTCCTTAAAAAAAAAAGTATCATTTTATGTTTTTTTATAGCGAATATAATCAAAACTGACATTTACATGGTCTTCTAATTAAACTAAACCCCCTTTACAGTGTAGCGAATTGTCGATTAGTATTTTATTGTTTATATTGGATCTACAATGAGTATTATTTTTCATGGACTTATATTTGTTTCCGTTATAATCCGTTCCCTTTTTTTTCTTAGAAATATATTACTTTGTCCACAATCAGATATATCATATTTTTTAGCAAACAAAAAGAAATGAAAAAAAAAAAAAAATCAGATAAATTATCATATATGTTCCCACGGGCCACAACCAACTGGATAGATGTCGATGTTACATCATATATTTAATTATTGAAGTTCACTAACACCACATAAATAAAGGAATATTTTACAGCATGGGGCATCCTATTAATTAAAGGGCTGTTGATTGAGACATATATAGAATATAAATTAAAGGATACATATGTCACGGGACTTATAATATTATGAGAATTTTTCGACAATATGGCTTCACTCGTTTATAACTTTAATTTAGCCGGTATAATTGAGGTCAATAATTTTATCAATTGCAATTGCATATATTAACTTAACGATAATCTAACATTCGACAGCAATTTATAATGTATAGAGTTCAAATCCCACGCACCAAATTTAAAAATAGGGTTAGTAATATAATTATATCTCATAGCATTAATCATTTCTCAATTTATCTCTTTTTTTTTTAATTACAAAAATATCATTTGAATTCAAAAAACTTATTTTAATTTCATCCTTCACATGTTTTATGAATAAAAATTTTTTGGACTAACCAACATAACAATCCTAAAATAATTTATGAAAAACATTTTATACATTTAAAAAAAATAAAAACCCTAAAAAAATTAAGTTACAAGAAAAGATCTTGATTTTCAAGCTTTTCTCCAGAACAAAAATGTTTTTCCAAAACAAATTTCATCTAATTAAGTGTATTTTTATCCCTTTTTTTTCTTTTTGCTGTCCATAAAAGTATAGGAAGAGGGAAATTGAAACGATTTTTTATTTTGAAAGATATTTCTATATTTTAAGAAAATGGAAAGATAAATTGAAAAATGATTAAAATTAAAAGGTATAATTATAATCTAATGGATTTGAATGTGCCCACTAAAATCTTCCACATATATAATGGATATAGCTGGTTATATAGATAAATTCCCGGAAAAACTATAAATACAACTCAAGAAGTAAAAAATACTATTTATGTTAGTCCACTTAAAAATAAACAATTATCATTTAATTAATAAGGAGAAAATAAAAGATTCACAATAACACTAAATAATTTAAAGAAAATTACAGATTCTACTTTTTTAGTACCTAATTTACTAAACTATTTATTTTAAAAAACTCTACCTCTTGATTAGTTTTAGTCTAAAAGATAAAAATAAATGGACTAATATTAAGAACTAGAAATAAAAGGGGCTTCATTTCAGGGAGTATTCTTAAAAATTGTCTAATAATTTAGAATGTCATAAATGATAAAGCTGTACAAACTCATGACAACCCACGTAATTTCATCATAAATTCACAAGGTACCAAAAGGTCCATAAATGTGCCCACAAAGAAAGAGAAAGAAGAAATTAAATAAATTAAAGTGTTAGGCTTTTGCCTTTTAGGCACGTACAAATTGGTCGAATGAACAAGAGGGAGAGTAGATAAGATTGTGGTCAAGTTCGCATCAATATCCTAAACCAAACACAACAAGTGGGGACCAATTTTTTCAAAGGCTCCAAACCAATCCACCTTTATCGAACACACCCCAAAAAACAATGTTCATGCCATATCCCAAACCTATTACGTGTGTGGTATTATCCTCATTTTCTAATTATCTGACAGTTACATTTCCTCTTGCCTTTTTTCTCCAAATGTATCTATATATGTATAAATTCTCAACTTCTATTTTAAATCCCTCTATCAGTTCATATATACGTATGTACCTACTTCTTCTTCTTCTTGATCATCTTTCTCTATCTGGATATGAAGACGGAATCTGAGAACGTGATGAGTTTCGACATGGGTTCACTTAGAACAAATCTCCCAATGAAGTAAGAATCGTTCTACTTTTTTTTTCTCCTTTTTCCGATCATTAATTTTTGGGATTCATATCAAAGAAATACTGTAATTCGCATAATATTTAGCTTTAATATGATTTTTTATATGATATGACAGTTTAAAAATGTGTGTTATGATATATGAAGTGTTAGTTATTCGATGCAATGAACAAATGTGCGTGTATGTTTCTTTCCTCTCAGCAGGAGAGGCTTGTCTAGGTATTACTCTGGAAAATCGAGGTCGTTTACGTGCATGGCGGATGTTCATAACGTGGAAGATCTGAAGAAACCGGAACATCCTCAGGATGCAAAGAAGAGGAAGAAATACTCGGAGAGAAACAAGGAATTGCTTAATGTCATTCCTCCATATCCATGTCGAAGAGTTTCAAGCACCAACCAATGTGCCACCCCTTGTGTTGGGGCTTGAGATCTTCATATTTTGCTGAGTGTGAACAAAGAAAAGAAAAAAAATTATGTGACTTCGACTTCGCAATAATTCGATTTTTATTGCGACTAATGCATATTTTCTTCGCCACGTCTCTCTGTAAATAAGTAGTAAACATGAAAAATACATGTTAAGAATGATATCATTCTGAAATGTTTTGGGTTTTTTTTTTTTTCTTTTCAAATGAGAAATCTAGTTTATGCTGTATAATATAATGTGTGTAATAATAATGCAAATATTTATCCGAGATTTTTTTGTTTCCATGTTCACAAAATGGGATTATCTTCTTCTTCTTCTTCTTCTTTTTTTTTTTTTCCGAGTTCATCTTTTCTTTCTTTTGGCCCCTTTTATTAGAGAAATTAGAATGGATGGGTAAATGCTGACAGATATGTTGTTCCTTTTCAAACCTTAAATTGAGGAACTGTGACGTTAATCTTCTTGAGTAAATCTCATTTCTTGGCACTTTTATATACAGTAAATGGGGCTTTATTTTTTTTTTTATTTTTTTTTTTTTTCCTTTCTTTTCCTTAGGCTCTCATTTGATGAGTAGCGTACTAGCGGTTGGATGAAAATGAAAGGATTATGGGCTTTAAGTTTTATTGAAGCCATTTCTGACTTTAACGAATAATTATCTTTTCTTTTTTTGGTATATGACTAGAACAATATTCCACGAATCAATTCGGGGGAGAAACCACTTTCTTCAGAGCATCTTTGCAAGCTTTCCCAAAGAAAGAAAACCTACAATTTAACGCGCTTAAATTTCCATAGTAATGCTTTCTTTATTATTTCTTTCCCTCAAGATTACAAGACATTTTATTTTCTACTTCTCAATAGCTTTCTTTTTTTTTTTTTTCCTCTCTAAAAAAAAAAAAAAAAAAAAGATCATACCCCGACGCAACATAGTGGGACCACATGTGAAAAAAAAATAATAATAAAAAATAAAAAAACCAAACTCATTCTATTATCAAACTAGCATCCAGAGAATCCAAAAAACACATTAGCCTTGATGAGGGACATAATTAGCACCTCACAATGCACAATACGAATCAATCCATAAACGATTAGAAAGAGTCTTGATAGGTCGTTATCCAATTGCATTCTCTTGCGCACTAAAATCTGCCGAGTACGGAGTATCTATTAGTTTGCATTGGGATTTTCATTGAAAACAGTGGATCTCAATATATTTGGCCGTAGTTTTCTAAGATCTCATGTTCTTGAAGAATGTAAATAAGCAATGACAGACCTAGGGGAGGCAGAGGAGGCCATGGCCCCCCCAGATTTTTTTTTTTTTAATATAATAGTTTTAATTTTAATATAATAAATATGTGTATAAATTAAACTTAGCCTCCCATAAATTAATAATTTTCTACATTTTATTAGACTAAGATTTTAAAAGATAAGATACTCATTTCTATGAAGTCCATAAACATTTAAACATTAGTGTAATCTTCATTATTAAAAAAAAAAAAAAAAGAAGACCCCCTACCGATAAATCTTGACTCTAAATTAAAGAAATGACTATAGTCATGCAATATGTAAAAAGCTGCCTCCCAGTGCACAGATAAAGAGGTTTATGTGGTCATTCCAACACAGATCTGATTTCAAGTCCATTTCCAAAAGTTCTGGTATTTCTACAGTTATGCTACTGCCCCCTCTATGTTAATTGAGCTAGGAAGGATGCACATTTTTGTTACACTGACGACAACAAAACGGAAATGGAGACGCCAATTAATTGTTCCTTTTTTTTTCTTCTCCCCTAACTCGAGCAAAAACTACAAAACAAGGCCTATTGAGAACAATTATGAGCACCAAAAGAATCAGTGTTCCTCCCTAATTGTACAAAATTAGGAACGAAGCTCAAACTATTGATAGCGTATCTTCTTGTCGGCACCTGAATCCCCGTCGTCAAGCATGACAAGATCGTCGTCGTCGTCACCATTAAGAACTTCGAGTTTCTCTTTGCCCTTTGTTTCTTCTGCATTGCTTGGAATGACATCCTCGGAAACCTCGGAAAGTTTTCTCTTCTTTCCTGGAACAATTTCTATCTCATCGTTCTTTTCAGCCTCCATTGTTGATCCTTCTGATGTGCTTCCAGCATTGTCAACAGACTTGGTACCATTGTTCTCCACTGAAGAAGGTGCTTGAGTCCATCCAGAAAGAACTATTCCATCAGGTTCCTTCTCCTCGTCGAATTCCTCTCTGTTTAAAATTGCATCAAATTTGTAAGGCAGCTTATAGAAATATGGTTAATGACACTATTTGTACACAAAAGTAAACAAATTAAGCAATCTTGCTGTTAGTGTTTGACCCAAGTTATGACTAGCCATTCGTCATGCTCACGACATAACTCGCACGGCCCGAATTCTAGCGAGGATAAAATGTGGACTATTTAGGTAAAGCCAAACTTCAGCACAAAAGCAGACATGATAGAGTATGGAGAAAAACCTGTGCTTTATGTTGATATTGCAACGCAGTTCTTGATAAAGATCATTAACCGTCAGCATTGTCCCACCAACAACTGGACAATTAAGCTCAGACAGCACCTAAGAATTTGTTTGAAAGAAAATGAGGGCGAAGCAGAAGAAGATTCAGTAAGAAGATGAGAAAGAGCAGGTCGTTTTCAGACCAAATAAAAAGCATACCTTATCAGCCTTTGCAGCATACGACGCAAGCAAGTCTTCGTCAAGATCATCACCAGTTTCATAGAGAATCTCTGTCCCATGCATGATAGATGGCGAGCTCATCCCCAGCTTTGACTTTACGACTTTTTCAATAATATCCCTCAACTTTGCACGATTGGTATTTATCTCGAGTGACAGAGGTGTCTGCATTAAATTATAATGAAAGTGACAGGATCAAAACCATAGTTTGGATGTCAGCATTAAGATCCCGCACTAATTAAATTTAAAAATCAACTTGCCTCAGAACAAACATAACAAGACTTGTTAGGTTCAAATGGTTCCACTGGCATGAGTAGCATCTTTTTCGATGGATGTTCCAGACAATATGTCATCCTGCACAAAGATTTCAAACAATATGGAGAAAACCTGCAACCACAGTAAGTATATACATGCATATAAACATATGTCCTACATATATGCCACAAAATTTCTTGATTAAGACTTCACTATTTTTTGTCACAATACCAAAAAACAAATTAATTGACCAGACTGAACAAAAACGCGGAAAAAATCCGTACATTAGACAGAAGGTCGTCCTACTGATGCGCTTATCTGACAAATATCACGACTCATTTTCCATAATTACTCATAACATAACAGTTTCTGATTCATCCAGAAGAAAATAAAAATCATGATGACACTTATCCGTAGGAGTTTACCAAATAGACTTGTACGCATGCCAAAACTTAATGCCGACAACATCATAATATTTCTTTTATTGCATTTATAAGTTAAATGAGAAACTCAAGCATTTTTCCCCTTTAACAAATGTAAATGGTTACGAATTTGTCTCTGTTAGTGTCCATTAAAAGAAGGATGGGACCATAAATAGAGACAGCTAAACCTATACAACATAGAATGTTTGCAATAACATGACACTTCTGACTCAACAAATTGAGAGAAACAGGATTATAGGAATAATAATAGTACAGGATCACAATCCATATTTGAAAATTAAAAGGAACATACATTGTGCAGAGAGTAAAGGAAACCTCACACACCTATAACTCTTCGTATCATTTTTTAGCACCTTGATTGCCTCAATAACAATCAACCCAGCAATAATTGCATTAGTTGTTGCAACAGCGTGAACAATGTTTCCCGCAATACCTTTAGCTTCAAAAAGATTATGCAAAGCGATCCCAAAAGAAGATGCTCGAATATTTGCAGCAGCTGTAACAAATTCCACAGCTAGTTGATCGTCCTTATCGAATGTCAGATTCCCAATTTCCTGTCAAACATTCACACCCCCCAAAAAAATAAAGATTTCAAAAACTCCATTTGATATGGGTAGAGGCAAAAAGAAGAAAACATAAAGAGATACAAGGGCTTTTTTTTTTAACACGAAGATACAAGGGCTTTATCCAATAATAGAGTGCGCAAACTGACCTTTTCTCTTTTCATAAAGAAAAGCTTCAAAGCCTCTAGAAATATTCTTGAATTTTCCTTCAGACTCCATACATCTTGTGGATTTTTCATGCCTACAGATGCCATAGCAGACACCGAAGATGGATCGTTGGTTGCACAATTTCTATCTACATTTCCATTCTGTTGAGTTGGCTCATTATCAAAGATATCCCTATAGTATATAGGCTTCGGTCTATTCCGGTTTTTCCATGTCTCCTCATTAGACAAAGCTATCCCAATGTTGTAACCAAATACATGGTCATATATTCTCCTCCCATACTGCTCAATGTCTTCATCATTTTTGCGTTCAAATACATCTTCTACATGGTCTGATGAGCTAGCAGCATCACCAGAACGAACATTTAAATCATTCTCCTGATTCTTATCACCGAACAACTTTGCGAAGAGAAGGTCCTTTGCCCATACAATGCAGTGAACAAACTGCAAAAGTAGAAACCTCTAATATTAATTTACAGCAAGTCACGATGAAGCAAATATATTTAGTCTTCTAACACAAACGTGGCCCGTGCAGAAACAAATATTCAAGCGAATGCAAAGTAAGAACCATATATATACCTTTGATGGAGTACTTGTAATGGTACACACAGGATATGTTTTAGGGGCAGGTTTAGGTTGGCACTCATAGCACTCTGTTTTCCCCTTAATATGCACCGTGACCTGTTAATACACACATGTGAAACGGAAGAAAGCATCATTACAAACAGATTCAGAGTCAACTGAAATTATAGTTTGCTAAGACATGCAAATGAGGAATATAAAGACTTAAATGTTGTACAACCATTCTTAGCAATACACACACATTATGTATTTTTATATTGTATATATTGCATAACCACACACATTATGTATTTTTATATTGTATATATTGCATAACCATATTGACATACAGGTTAAGAGGGATACTATATCGCTGTTTGTGGGTTTGTGAAAATGATCCTCCAAAAATTTTGACAAACCAAGAATAGTTACCCTGTGTAGATTCAGTTACACCCGAGCCTAGGAAGAATAAATATGAATGGATGTATTCTAGAGGAGCTCGCAACGTTTTCGGCTGGGGAAGGGATGTGAGTGCGTGAGGTAGTTGCTGAGCTGGATTATAGGCAGTTAGGCTAGGCTAGGGAATAGTGCCTAGAGAGTAGGGAGGTTACAACGGATTGAGGGGGTCTTAAGGGGGAATCGGAGAGAGAGAGACACGTTGAGAGAATATTGTTTTTACCATTTTTGTATTCTTGGCCGAGCTGAGCTCGTTGTTGTTCCAGGGACGATTAATGAATTGGATCCTTTGGTTGAGGATCCTTCAGTAGTCTATCTGTGGTGTTCTTGTGTTGTTGTGTGTGAATTCGTGTGCAGGTACTCGGAGCCCAACAGATTCATTCAGTCTAAAGCTGCTCTAAGCACACAATTACTGGTATCTGAAACTATATGCCATGCTCTGAATGCTTAATTCCGTCATCTGTTTAATTTATTTTGATAACATAGATGTTCACATTGTGCCTTTATAGATACTTATGTCGACAATTTACTTACGCTTTGCATGAAAAGAGAACATGAGCGAATACAATATTGCAAATCAATGCAAATAACAAGCTCACAGCAGAAACTCAAACAGCATTATAGAAATCAAAACCCCAATGCGCTCATATCCCTTTACCACATAGAATAAGGACCGGCTATGAAGTTCTTTATGTTAATGAACGAATTGTTGGAGTTCATTCACTGTCTTTCATAATATTAGCCCATTACGTTATATCAATTTTCAAATCCACATTTGTGAACTCATTTCCTTCATACGTCCTTTATCTGAACAATTTGAAAAGTTTAACTTGCTTTTCAAATCCACATTTGTGAACTCATTTCCTTCATACGTCCTTTATCTGAACAATTTGAAAAGTTTAACTTGCTTTCATATTGTTAGCAGATTCCCACCCAAACATTCAAATACCAAAGTAACATGTATCTTTGTTGACCAACCTTCTTGCAGCAGAAGCAGAGTTAGCATCATACTGGTCCTATACTGGGCTTCTTCAAAAAGTTTTCAATTAAAAAAATTCCAAACTTTTCAACTTAAAAGGTTAACTGGCCTCAGAATGATATAGTTTTTCCTTGAACCTCTTAACATGCAATGGAAATGAACCAAAATTTGACCTTCTAATCTTTGGCTGATAAGAAACAAAACAATAATATCTCTCGTAATACATTAGCCATCACTTATTAGAGTATTTTGAATCTAAACCGCAATACCTCACTTAGAGAAAACAAGCACCTCCACAGAAAAACCAGGGAAAATATATAAAACCAGAGGCAAAGAAGTATGGAGTATGAGGTAAAAACGTCCTTTGTTTATAATGGATTATTTCTGTCAAAATAACTGCTAGGCAAATGTTTACCTGTCCAAGGAACCCAGTGGTCCCACTTTCAACCAAAGGAACTTCAGCGGCCAAGCATAGTCGATTTACGTGTCGCCTTGCATCTAAATTGTCCAGTCCATTCAAAACAACATTAAATTGTTTGAAGAAGTCTACATCGAAATCAGGGCCCTTGACATTTGCATGATATGGTGTAATGCTTATGTGAGGCCTAAATTTTAAGACAGCATCCCGTGCAACCTGTTGAGAACTTTCATCACCATTTAAAATGAAAAAATAAAAATAGTGCAAATATAGTCGGATCAAAAGAAGGTGAATCTACTCACTTTGGCCTTTGATTGTCCAACATGTGATTGTCGGAACAAAAATTGCCTGTTGAGGTTACTGACTTCTATAGTATCCATGTCAATCTACATATTACCATAAACAAAATTGATGAGTGGCGAAAACCAAAGACAAAAGGGAAGAAAATGTACTTGAACCTACAGATGCTGAGAAAAATATCTTAACAGAATTTACATCATTTTCATGGCCACAGGCCACCGAAAGAGAAACAAGCATAAACGACTTGCTAAGACAAACTTGGGTGGTTACGGAATTGTGAACATACTTTTATCAATGGTGGTAATGGATCCCCCTGCTTCAAACTTCAAATACTAAAAATCAGTAAAGCATTCCCCTCAAAGGGGGAAAAAAGGGGACCATAAAGCACAATGTTACAAGTGACTCAAAATATGACATAGCATATCTGAAAAAGAAATGCCAAGAACCAAAGCCAACGTAATTTTGGAGTCCAAACCAAGAATTACAATGATAACTATTAAAGTATAAAACTACTATTAGCCCACCTCCTAACAGCTTAAGCTTTTGGGATGAATTGGTAAACTAACATGGTATCAGAGCAGGAGGTCCTGAGTTCAAACCCTCATAATTGCACTCTTTATCCCCATTTAAAATTGTCATCACGTGTTGAGTCTTTATATATCTCGGGCTTAAATATTCACGTGTTGGGCTTTCCAATTAATTTACCCATACGATTGCCCATTGTACAGCCCACACGTGAGGGGGAGTGTTAAAGTATAAAACTATTGTTAGCCCTTAAGCTTTTGAGATGGATTGGTAAACTAACAATAACAAAAACAATGCTTGTAAGTTAATTCCATTAATTGTTCTCGGCATTAAAAAAAAAAAAAGAAAATATATATATATATATATATATAGTTGTCATATATGTCTACAAAAATGCTTTTTCAAAACAGTTTAACAAGGGGCCGAAAGTTTTGGTACTAAGGGAAACAATTCTTCGAGAAAACCAAAGATTATCCTAACTTCATATGTCAAAAATAGTAGAAACAAAAATTAAAATAAATATTAAAAAAAACAAAATAGATAAACTCTGATTAAAAATTTAGAATAAAATACAACCATTTTTACGCTTAATTGAGCCCCTAAAAACACCAGAAAAACTTTAAACACCTAGGAAAACGAGGTAGTAAACAAAAAACCTAACCCTAAAACCCATTATATCTACTAAAACAAGCAAAAATCCAAAAAGAAAAAACTCACAATATGAATGTCCTGGAAGCCGGAGAGCGCGAGAGTCTTGAGGAGCTCGCAACCAATACCACCGGCGCCAACCATAAGCACTTTCGCGCCCTGCAAATGAATAAATAAAATAAAAACGAAAAATCAACTTCAGTTCCAGGCTTCAAAAAAGCTAGGGTTTCGCAGAGAACTTCGGTTCGAAATTACCTTTATCGCGGAAAAATGATTCTCGGACGCCATGGGAGGTAGTGACGAGCTACAGAAGCAAGAGAGAGAGAAGAAGAAGAAGAAGCGTGAAATGGAAGACGAACAAACTGCTAATTAATTAATCTAGACGAACAAAGAAAGAAGAGAGAGGGATTTATTTTTTATTTTTTATGTTTTTTGGGTTTATAATTTGCGTTCGTGGGGAATCGAACCCACGACGTCATAGAATCTCGTCGTAGAGAGAGAGAGAGGGGGAAAAGCCAAAGGGAGAGGTTAGTTCGTGGATGGAGGCGCCAAAATCAGTGAAAAGGGGGAGGAAAAAAAAAAAAAAAAAGGGCAAAAAGAGAGAGAAAAAAGGATCAAAAGTGTGACTGACTGTGACTCACTTGCCTGTCTCCCAGACTTTTTTTCTCTCCGTCTTTGTCTCTCTAGAATCGATGACAGTATTTCTAATTCTTACTAGTCCAGCATGTCTGTGATTGGATAGAGAGAGCGGGGTGAGATCAAAGGTCGGGTGTTTGGTAACGGTGTTAAGTTGACTCTTTTCCTACCTGGGATTACTCTCTTGAGAGTGTTAGGTCGAAAGAAAATGAATAGAATAAATATATGAATTATCATTTCTTTCTCAGTCAATCCAAGTTCTTTCTTCATTTCTTCCTATAATTACCTTGAATATTGTTATATAATTACAATATATTATATAATAATTATATCTAATAATATGTACATTCCTTCTTCACATAAGAAATAGTCAATCTAAGCTCTTTCTTCGCTTCTTCCTATAATTACCTTGAATATTGTAATATAATTACAATATATTATATAGTAGTAATATAATTACAATATATTATATAGTAGTAATATAATTACAATATATTATATAGTAGTAATATAATTACAATATATTATATAGTAGTAATATAATTACAATATATTATATAGTAGTAATATAATTACAATATATTATATAGTAGTAATATAATTACAATATATTATATAGTAGTAATATAATTACAATATATTATATAGTAGTAATATAATTACAATATATTATATAGTAGTAATATAATTACAATATATTATATAGTAGTAATATAATTACAATATATTATATAGTAGTAATATAATTACAATATATTATATAGTAGTAATATAATTACAATATATTATATAGTAGTAATATAATTACAATATATTATATAGTAGTAATATAATTACAATATATTATATAGTAGTAATATAATTACAATATATTATATAGTAGTAATATAATTACAATATATTATATAGTAGTAATATAATTACAATATATTATATAGTAGTAATATAATTACAATATATTATATAGTAGTAATATATATTATAATTATATTAATAATTATAATATTTTTATTTTATTATATAATATGATATGATATTATATTCAGTTGTATTAATATAATTATGGTATGTTATATTAATAATAATATAATTTAATTACAATTAATATAATTACATATTAATATAATTTTATAATTCTAATATTATTATTTATTATAGTGTATTACGTACATTATGACTAAATAATGTATTCATTTAGTATAATATAATTATAAATCCTAATATACTTATTTAGTATAATATAATTATATATTATAGTATAGTATAATATAGTTGTAATTTTTAATTATATTATAACTGAAATATTATTATTTCTTATATAATCTTATAACATGTTTTATAACATTATAATTATATTAACCATTTTAATAATATTATTATATTTTATATCATAATTATATAATATATTGTATAATAATAATTTTATTATATTATATTACATTATATATATTATATTAATTATATTTATATATAAAATATTAGTATTATATATAACATAAGGGTAATTTTATCAAGATAAAAATATTCATATTTCATTTCATAATATTCCTGAAATTACAATCAAACAAATGAATCATCCTCTTTTTCATTCTATTACTATCACCATTCTCATTCTCATTATTATTATCATTATCTCACTATAATCAAACGCACCCTCCTGTTTTTGCTAATTTTGGTTACACACCGGGGATAGATGGTATTAGCAGTAGCATTTCCTTGGCATGTTTAAAAAAAATTTATTTTTTCTTTTTTTCTAGTTTGGAAAGTCGAACCAAATAAAATAAAATAAAAGTCAAAAGATTACCAACTCTTCAGAGTGCTAATCTTTTTTTAGTTGACTTTTTTACAGTCAATTGTTGTTCAATCCAATTATAATATCTAGTGTTAGTATCGTGTAATACTTTTCAGATATTATATGACGGTCGATAAGAGTTTAAAATAAAAAAAAAAATTTGTTGTTGAATTTCATTTGACAAATCAACAACTCTAATGATTTGTTTGATTTAAATTATTTGAACAAATATGACTGGAAAAATCATCGTTTGTTTTTTTAGAGTACAATTGTTTTTGTTTTTGTTTTTTGCTAAATTAAATTGTTTTATTGTATAGTAATCTTGTAATTCACAATGGTAATTTCCTTAATTTCTCTTTATTTCTTCTTTTTTTCTCTTATTTTCAGCCCTGTTAAGTGGCTATAATTGAGAAATAGCTGCGCCAGAAATCATCCCTAACTTATCCGTTATAATGAAGTTTTTAGTTTATCCTTTCACAAATGTTAAATAACTATGCAAAACATTATAGATTTGCCAACTAAATTTACCGATCCTTATAGGTCATGTATCAGCCACTTGCGAATTGCTCAATGCAGGATAAATAAATAAATAAATAAATAAATAAATAAATAATGATAATGCCCAACAACCAACCTGTTGACGGTGATATTTCGTCAACAAAAACAGGCCGGGTTACCTCTGGGTTTCCCGTTGGATTGCCGGCCTTAGTGTTGAATGTGTGTGAGGGATGTATTGTGAGTTAATGAAATGACATGCACAAATAAAGAACACAAGAAATTTTATAGTGGTTCACTCTATAAAATCAGAGCTACATCCAATGTAGTTGTATATTTCTTTTGAGATGATTACAATTTACATCAATTATTCTTTCTTGTTCTTTTTTCTCTTGGATCTCAACCCCTTTTCTGTATGGGGTCTTGCCCTTTTTATATTGGGAGCTTCTTTCGCTGGGTTGATTTCCTTCGTAGGTAGAAGCACTCAAGTGCTCTCCCTTTTTAGGCCCATTCGTAGCCCACTAATCACTTGGAATACTGTTCACACAGCCAATTAGTCTTTTATTACGGTTCTGTGCGTTCCTGTAACCCTTTTATGTTCCCTGTGAGGCGGTTTAAGGGTTCGCAATAAATGCATGCCTTGCAGTTATCCCCCACTTTTGTACGCAATTTGCCATGTCAGACTTTTCCCCAAAAAGCATTCCCCTCGTCGCCCGTGTTGCTTAACCCAACTGTCCTTCTTGGCTGTTGGTTCCACAGTCGAGGGATTTCTATGTCTTAAGGTCGACGGTACGATCTGTCGACGCTAGAAGGAATCGACGCCTTAAGTTGGACTTGTCACTTAGGTTCTTTATAACGGAATCGGAGGGGGCCCCAGACGTCGAGGGTTGTTGCTTTGCAGGGAGTAGTTAAGGCTACGTGTCATATTATCGTTCTCCCACGTGCCCTTCACATTTTCCCACACAACAGCTACCCCCCAAGTCGAGGGTTCCTTTTAGGTGGCCTCGAGTTTAGGTTCGGCCGTACTTCCGTGCTTCGGGTGTGGGAAACCGGTCCCAAGCCTTCATCCGCAATGATGGCCTGGATGCTTCGGGTGTGGAAAATCGGTCCCGAGCCTTCGTCCGCAATGATGGCCTGGATGCTTCAGATTTCCTCGAGGGACGTAACCGTCGCGTCGGTCGATTTTTTGTGCTGACGTGAGGCTCTATTTCGAAAGGATGAATGTGAGCCTTCAGATCGCGACTCTTCCTTTTCCCGCCCTTGTTTGTCATTGTCAGATCTGGGCGGGATTCCCTTGTCGTTGGATTTTAAGAACTTCATCCAATGGTCAGGGGTCGAGGATTTTCATCTCCTTAAATACCTTTTTCGAACCCAAAACCATTTTTTCTTCAAAACACAAACACTCCCCGTATTCACTGAACTGTCGCTTGCTTCGCCGGAATCTTTTTCTGCAAAACACCGACTCGTACTCCTCATTTTTTCAGGCGTGTTGTGAAGCCGCATTTAATCTCAGATTCTACCCGGAAATCTTCATATCGGTAAGCCCCATCATCCTCTTCTTGTTCTGTTTCTCATGGGTTTTTCCTGTTGAATCATGTATGTATGAAAATACGTGGAATGTAGAGGTTAGGGAGACTTACTTCATTTTATTTTCCGCATAGGATAGTTCTTTTTTTGTCTTTTGATAGTCTGCGCACTTCTGGTTCCTGGGTTCTGGGGAACTCGAGGTATCATAAACACTCACCGTTATCATTCTTACATGAATGGTCGACGTCAAGTCGAGGTGTTTGAGTAGTCATCGTTTAGAATAGCCATCCTTTTCTTCCTCTCGACGTTAGGGTTTTAACTCAGCTCCTTGTCTTTTTAATCACCAGAACAATGGCCCAAAACTCCCCCAGTCGAGAAGACCCCTCCGTCGTCCGTCCAGACTCCCCTTCTATGGCGGAGATCTCATGGTCATATTCCTCGTCGGACTGTGACTCGCTGTCGTGGGAAGTCGAGGGACATGCAGCCGGCCCAGGCGACGACGGTAGTGATGCCTATGACAGCGTCTGCCAAATGATCGACGAGGACGTCGACAGGAGGCCTTTTACAGGCGGCAGCATGTGTGGCGTCGCCGCTTCTTTGGTGGACGCCCCGCTGGCTGCTACAAGCGGAGATCCGGATCGGCCTTCCTTCACAGCTGACGCCGTGGCGTCGAGGGTCCGGAACAAGGATATCATCCGGGCGGTGAAGGAAGGATGCGTCGACGGGAGGTGGTTCAAATACCTCCTCCCAGACATGCATTTCAGGACTAGTATGCCCCCGACCGGATTCCTCCCTGTTTATACCAGTGCCGTTACTGCGGGGATGACCCTTCCGGTTCATCATTTTGTAAAGGATTATTGCCACTTCTACGGCATTTCCCCCGCCCAACTGGTGCCAAATTTCTGGTACTACTTCGCTGGTGCCTGGATCTTGTGGCACCAACAGTTTGACATGGATCTCCCTCTAGATGAGTTTAGATTCATGTACAGACTGTGCCACGTCGCCAAGTGCGAAGGGTGGTACTTTCTGAGCGGGCACGAGAGATCCCAGCCCAGATTTGGCAAGCTAATTATGGGCAT